GTTGAAAGCTTATATTTTTGTGAAATGACCGTGAATAATTTCCTTATCGATTTGAGAGCGTAGACTTTACGCAGCATGAATATCACATATTAAAGTTTTTCTATCTGTCATTTCTTTCTATCTTTTTCTTTTCTCTCTCTCTCTCTCTCTCTCTCTCTGATTCATTACAAATGTTTTAGTTAACGTACAGTCTTTTCTGTCAAACGTCCAATACAAAATCTGGTCCTTTTGTTTTTTCACTTCATATTCAATCAACAAATCTTTCAATTCTATTCAATATTTTTTTTAACTCGTCTCATACAGGATTAATTTGTCAGTTGATTTACGTTTAAACCCGATGGATCGTACATGACCCATCTACAAATAGCAAATATTTCAAATGGAAAAGATTCTATTCATGATCCGAACGGAAAAGAATCTCATATTTTCATTACTATTATTTATTTGATCAGTATTTTTAAATACTCAAATAAAATAAAATATTCAATTCGAGACAATAAATAGTCTCGATAAATATTTCCAATAAATGGTAAATGTATATATGTGAAAATTATGTTCAGCATAAAAAATACTTTTTGCAAGTATTTCTGATAGATGGTGTAATATTTATAATAATGCCAGATTTTATATTCTACTTAAACTTACTGATTTATCGATTATAAATATTAACCATTCATTTGAAAATACCAATATATATATAAAAGAGATGTTGAAAAATTCTGACCCGACAGATAGAGAACCATTTTCAATGGGATCTGATTCACGAAAGAATCCCTTCGTTTTTCTATAGTAGGTACGACGCGAGAACAATTTTTGATTTATTTTATTTTCCAGCGCGTTATGCTCGCGCGAGAATATATATATTCGACTACTATACTTCATACGTTCACGTCGAAACGAGACTAGGATGTTCGGGGAATTTTTCCGACGTTCGTATCCTAGATTCCTCTTTTCTTTTTTTTTTTTTCTATCAGCCAGGATAAATCGATTTTATTTTTTCTTTTCTGTTTCAGGTGAGTAACGTCACGCTTCGTTTTACACAGAAACGCCAGAAAAGTGAGACGCCAATGCACTTTGTGCTTCTTCTATTATCACCTAACGCTTTCGAGAAAGCCCTCGATAACGAACCTATGTACGTATGTATGTATATATATATTTTTATAATATGTGTTTTTATTCATGTATTTATATGAAAAAAAAAAACGAATTTTAATATAACTTTCTTTTTGAAATGAACATCTTACGTTAATTCTTTTAATATAATACTTTTAAACAAAAATGATAGAGAAACTTTAAATAACATCTCGCGAATATATGCAAGTTCAAATTTTTTAATGTTTATTTAGAATCTATTTTTTATTGTTTGAGGATCTACTTGTATCGTGTTTACATTGAAAAGATCGAATGTTATAATATATAATTTTCTAACATCATCATGGAAAAAATACTTCAAATATTTCATATCGATTTTGTAAGATTTAAGAAGATTCTTTTTCTTTTTTTATTGTCACTGGATGATGTATATATATATGTGATTATAAAATTTCATAATATACCTATATATAAATCAATTTTTCTATATTTTTATTGAAAGAATATATTTTCTTACTTAATAAAGCAAATAAAACAAATAAGAATAAATGAAAAAAAAAAAAATCTTCAAGTAATCCAATACTCGTAAGTAAACAATTTTGGTGTGCATAATTCGTAAGCTTGGGAGTTGAAGTAAAATTTAAAAAAAAGGAAGAAAAAAATGAGGACTCAAGTACCGCGACGGTTGCATAACGAGATGCTTCCCTTCGTTTCTTTTCTTTTTCATTCGTTCTTTCCTCCCCCTCGGCTTCCACCCCTTACCCTTACGCGCATTATTTTTCGTCGTCCTTGTCGTCCTTGAGTCGACGCGATAAGCTCGAAACGATGCGAAAAAGCTCATCTCTCCGTTTTCCTTCATCGTCTTTCTACGATGCCTGGAAAAGAAAAATAAGCCTGTCAAAAAATATCGCGCTATGCGAAAAAATTCTTACTTGGATTTCTTACTGACAGGAAAAATAGCTTTCTCACCGGTATTATACACGATAGTAGTAGTAGTAGTAGTAGTAGTAGTAGTAGTAGTAGTAGTAATAGTAGTAGTAGTCGTCGTAGCGATGATTTTAGTTATGGTAGCGAAATAGTGGTGGTGGTGATGGTGATGGTGGTGGTGGTACGACGCGCAATGAATACGTGTAACGTGTACTGCGGAAGAAGACAAGTATAGCATGAAGAGGAAACAGTTCGGTCTATGATATCGTGATACTTCGATTTTCTAGTAAAAATCCAATCTTTTCGAACGGCATGAATCCTTTCCTACGTATCGTGATATTACGTACGTATGTACGTACTTTCGAGATTTCTCAAACATGAATTCCTCTTCTCCCGTTGATTCGGATAAAGGTGTGTTATGCTGACTAATGAAAACGAGAATTAATTAAATGACCTCAAAAACGTGGTTGAGCCAATAGTATTAGAAGATTTGATTAGCTCGTTAAGGAAAAAGCTTTTCGGCATAAAATCTCTTATATATATACATATGTATGAATATAAGATGAGAAATATGTAAAGTATGAAACATCATTCTTGCCAAAATTTTGTTAGCTCGTTGTAATTGTACCGAATTTAGTTGTCATTCGTAGTATTTGTTTGAATGCTAATATAATATGATAGTTAACATTGAGCCAAAGGTATTGTTTTATGTTGTAATATTTTAGAAAGGTATTTTAATATTATTAGCTTATATATGATATCGTGAAATACCGAAATTGGAGAATATCAAGATTCACCAAGATTCACATTGTCGTTTGTCAACACATACCAAATACGCCGGTAAAAGACCGAATATTTAGTTTTATTCTTATACAATAATATTACCATGTATATATATTAATTAGTTAAATGTTGTAAATATTATAAATAAATCTTTTGTGATTATAAAGAAGCAAACAGTTAAGTCTTTATTTTATTATTAATCCAAATTATCTAAGATTAAAATATATTATTATAGACCAATATTTAAATTCAGCATTATTTGTTTTTTTTTCTCCACAATTTTTTCTCCACAATTTTTTCTAGATAAACATTAATAAACTGTAAGTTTTGTTCTTGCGGCCAAGAATGCTAGGGTGGTGCGTACGATTATTGTTTTGGAAGACTTTACAAAAAAACATGCGTCCATTTTAAAGAAAGTTCACGATATATATAATACGTAATATATAGAAAATGGTTAAGGCAAAGATCGTGTGAACAAAATTCCTTCTTTTTATTATACCATAGCACTTCATAATAAATAATGAATGCCGATGCAAATGTATACAAAATTCTATTTATACGTATTTGTTTTTGTACTTGGTATTTTATCTTTAATAATGTTTTAAATTATTTAAAAATTTATATTCGCATGAGTAAGCAATAATGGATTGGACTTAGGCCACTTTCGATGTAACTACGAAAATTAATAATTAAATTTTTTTTTATTACGAATATTATAACTGTTCAATAACAAATCTTTTATAGACGATAAACTTTATATTTGCTATTTTTTATAATATTCAATTTCTGTGAAACAGATCCTACGATAAGCCTATGAAATAAAATACCATGAAATACGATAGGCAGCAGATATAAAGTATTGTTTACCTAAATATTAAGAAATTCCAAAGGGTCATCAATTCCCAAACTATCTCAATGATCAAAGAAATATATGGTGCGATGAAAACTCTTTATACAGTGTCGGGCTTTTTGAAAGTTTCTGATTCATATCTAAGCACGTAAGATACCATAAAAGGAAATAACATTCCGATATTCTAGATCACGTTTCTTTATGCATTGTTTCCCTTTCCCAAAAACATAAGACTTTCCTTCGGGAGATCCTGGTAGGTGGACCCTCCTACTATTGGCCAATAAGTCCCATTTAGATTCTTCTCTCTCCTAAAAATTGTACGTTAGTTTAAAACGGATTCGCATCAGCATAATGTATAGTGCGCGCGAACAATAACGAAGGTTATCATTATAAATTATCATAATAAATTAGAATACGAATAGTATCGTATTAGTAAATTATTTTTTAACGTTTAGTCCAAACGTTTATAAGCGATATGTTTAGAAAATTTTCCTATATGTATATTTAATCGGTTCGAAATCAATTGTAAGAATTATTCTGACTTATGTCATTTTTTTTATCAGTTGGTTATGTAAAAAATGTTCTATCATATTGTCGTTATATAAAATGTTAAAGAGTTTATAAAACTGTTATATCATCTCTACTATTATTAATAACCAGGAAATATCATATACAAATTATACAAATTTTATAATTTTTTAAATAAACATACACGAGTTTTACAATATGCTAAATTCTAAATATATACACTTATATTTTTTTCAATATTTATCACAGTTTCATCATCATAATCATGATTTGTATTTATCATCTTAGACACCATATCTTTATTGGAATCTATGATTTCTTTTCTTTTATCAAAATTATTCGATGATCGAATATTTTTCAACCTTAACACTTGTATTCCATAATAAAAATTAAATATTAATGTTAAATAATTGAACGGATGATCATTCTTAAATCAAAATATACAAAATATAACTGTGATACAATATAGGTTTGTTGTACATTCATTTACGTCACTACGATTTGATGATATGCGTATTATTTAAAGTAGTTTAGGTTATAAATAATCATGATGAATATCTAATTCATTTTATACAGATTTTACATTAGCTTCTTCTTTCTTTGATTTAGTTCAATATTTGTGGTTGTGGATGAATAATACTTCTATTTTATCTAATTTGTCAAATAATAGCTTTCTATTTAATAATATTCGTTCAAGACTATATCCATATAAATTTTTAATAATAATTTAATTATTGTGGTGTTAAAATTTTTTTTTTTTTTTAGTGAGATTGTATTTAATTTTGTTAAAAATGAATTTCATGAATATATACAATAGATTTGTAGAAAATATAGGTAAGATTGATATCACAATATTGATTATATTAATTTTTTTTTTCAATAAAATTGTCAATGAAATTCGATAAAAAATTAATTTAATTTTTCAGACTCACGAGTCAAATCATGGCCATTGGTTGATACAGCTACGATACCAATCATCTTAATAACTTATGGTTTATTATTATATATTGTTCCTAAGTATATGAAAAATAGACCGCCATACTCTTTGAGTACATTTATACGATGTTATAATATATTTCAAATAATATCTAACAGTATCGTAATATATATATTTTTCGATGGAGGCTGGTTTGAAGACATATTTTTTTATTGTGTACCAATGACTTATAATACGGATCCTAAATCTATGAAGGTATTATTGATAATAGAAACAATTTAAAAAGTTGTTTTACCGAGGAAAAATTTCAACAAGACAAAAAAAGATCAATTTTATTAATATTTAATTTTTCATTTCAAGATATGAATCTCCAATGAAAGTATTATTATTAGGAAAAGAAAAAATACGGTTTCATGATTTCAACATCCTTGTATTTTATCTGAAAATAATAGTGTTTTATACATATATTTGATGTGCGTTTGAAAGAAATTGTTGAAAAATTTCGTCAAATATCATGGATTTGTATAAATTAATTCGTATGTTTAGATAGCCACTGCATTATGGTGTACGCTGTTATTGAAGGTCATTGATCTTACCGAATCGATAATCTTTTTACTTCGAAAAAAAGATCGTCAATTATCGGTTTTGCACATTTATCATCATGTATCAACGGTCTTATTGGTATGGAACGGTATGAGATATTACGCATGTGGAATGACTAGTGTTTTGCCACTTGTAAATTGCAGCGTACACGTCATTATGTATACATATTATTTTCTATCTTCGTGCGGTCCGAAAGTGCAAAAGTTGATCAAGCCCTATAAATCAATAATTACTATTATTCAAATAGTGAGTTAAAAGTTTAATAATTTATCATTAACATTTATTTTTTTATATTTTGTATGGGTCTCTCGTTTAACTAAACAACCTTAAATACATATTTATATAGCTTATTTCGTACAATAAAAAAAAAAATATTCTTCAAAGGAAAAAAATATTCTTTTCTAAGATTATGGGCCGAATTTTTTTCTCAAGATCATTTCTTTCGAAATTTCGAGGTTATCGTTTTTTTTTTCTTTAAATAGGACTGCATATTTTTACTATGACAGTTTCGGAGTTTATAAAAAAACTAATTCGACAAGGTGCAATGTGTTGACCTTTAAATAAGTTTTCCCGAAAAAATTGTGATATGGAGAATACTAAATGAAGAAATAAATGCAAATTAACGTTTAAGACATTCATATACAATACAAACAAAGTATCACTTTCATGTACAAGAGATAACATTTTAAAATCTTTTTGGTGAAGGTCACTTGAAGATCAACATATTGCATCTCATTGGATTTATTTTTTTTATGAGATGTAAGACTATTGAAGTAAAAATATGCAGTCCATTTAAACAAAAAATATGATGACCTTGAAATCTCGAAAAAAATGAGCTTGAGAAAAAAATTCGGCCAATCACCGTATTAGCACGCCTTCGAACAGAATGTTTTTTACCTTTGACATTATTTTCTGTCGTACGACATAAGCGTTATATTTAAGGGGTAACACCACTCTAGAATTTTCAAAAAATCGATTTTTTTTCTTAGCTTAAAGTCTACTTTAGATGTCTAAAAGCAATATGCACTTGGTTCGGAAGCAAAAAAAAATTTTAAACATAGCGAAATCTTGGTTTTATTGAAGCTCCTCGAAGCGTACGATGAGCGCTCCAGCACGGCGCTCGGATTAAATGTTTTAAACTAATTGTAAACGCATTTTTCTCAAAACTACATTTTTTAAATTGGGCGGACTCAGAACTTGAGCATCATTTAACCGATTGACTTGAAATTTTAAGGATAGTTTGATAGTTATATTTTCTAGAGAAGTACGTTGCCGATTTTCGATTAAATGTAAAATTTTAATCTTATAAACAATTTTCGACATCTTTTTTGTTGAAAGGTTGATTTTTTTATTCGAAGGTGCGCCATTTTCACAAAATTTGTCTTAGGGAAAAATTTTTACGTACTTCTTTAGATAATAGTACATAGATTAAGAATTTCTTCGGTTTTTTGTTTCAGGTCTCATACTTGTCGAGGTATGAGTCCGCCCATTTTAGTCAAAAAAAAAAAAAAAGGATTTTGTTCAGCCCCGAATACCGATGCCATTTTCTATCTAAAATCAATTAAAATATTTGTTTACATAGTTCAATATATGATTGACCAATTCTCCAAAAGGAAATCCTATTCCTCATTTAGTGTTCGCAAAAAAAATTCTCAAAAAAAGGCTTTTTCTTAGGCTCTAGAGTGGTGTTACCTCTTAAGGTGATCTAGTTAGGCGAGAATAATTCTGTATATTTTCCTTTTAACATAAATATTTACATACTGCACACTGATATGATTTGTTTTTTTTAGGTACAACTAATTTTACTGATATTATATATCGTTCGACCTTTACTGTTTAATTGCAACATACCAAAAAATCCAGCTCTTGTTTATCTTTTAAATATGGTGATCAATTTAGTATTGTTCTTAGATTTTTATCAAAAGACTTACAAAATTCCTGAACGTAAAAATAAATGAATGAGATAAACGAGAAAATTGAATTTGAAAATAAATAATAATAATAATAATATGAAAAACTAATCACAGAAGAATATAATAATTTTATTATTTGATGAAATATATGGTATTTAATTTATATGTGTAATTATTTATAATTCAACTATATCAATAAATAAATAAATTATATCAAAAGGAGTCAAGTTTGATTGAAATTAAATAAAAATAAAAATGTATTTTCTTCTTCGTTGTCTTATCTTTCTTCGCGTTATCGTTCTTTCCATTCTCACGAAAACTGAAATAAGAAATGATTTCCTTCATTCTATGACCTTCTAATCGAATTATAATTCATTTAAAAAATACAAAATTATTTGAAGAAAAGAAAGAAGAAGAAGAAGAAGAAGAAAAAGAAGAAAAAGAAAGATAAAAGAACAAAATAATGAGTTTACTTCTCTTATTCTTTATTTATGTTACTTTATATTTAGTACTCTGATGTCCTGTTACAAAATAACCCCCTCTTTCCCACCCACAAATTTCAACCTGACCGGAATGGAAAAAAGAAAAGTGTTTATTAACAACTCTTGATAATTTTGATTTTTTTCATCGTGTTGAATTTGAAACAAAAAGCAATCTGCCTTTCACATATCATCATTCCATCAAATACAATACAAAGTTTAAAAGTTTTTCACTTTTATGAATTCAACCTTTTTGACCCCTACGAATAAGCAAAATAATCAACGTGAGAATAAACCAAACTGAATAATCATATAATTGACGTAAGAGACGTATTGTATGTAAACATAGAAAAGATATTTCGTAACTCTTGTGGTGGGGCTTAAAAATCAATGTGTAAGAGTAGGAGAAACGGCTGTCTGTTTTACTTTAAGAAAAAAACTTTAGTTCATTATGATCTTTCTAATAGACATAATAGACAATATACTTTTTACGAAAAGTTGATATATTTCGAAATAACTTAAGTTTAAAGTTTAAGTTTTATGTTTATTTGAATAACGATAAGTTTAGTTGCTTCATTCTAAAATGGATATGTTACGCAATGTTGCTCGTTTTGTATTCACAGCCTCAGGTAAGAAATAAATATTTAATTTACTTATAAAAAATAGTTTAATTGTAAATTGTTGTTAATCGTTTTCATCTTCTTTATCTTCTAACGAAGAACGTTGTCCTCTGTTTTTTTATTTCTTTTTTTAATCATTAATCATCAATCATTAAAATGTAATTAATGTAATTTTGAAATAGAAAATATTATTTACAAGAATCATTTAATTTTCAGATCCACGCTTTCAAGATTGGATATTATTTAAACCGTATGCAGTAATATTCATTTTATTTTCATATCTTTACTTCGTTTTAGTATGCGGTCCTAGGTTTATGAAAAACAGAAAGCCATATTCGTTAAAAACGTTCATCAAATTTTACAATATTTTTCAAATTTTTCTGAATGGTTATATGGTATACAAATTTTTAAGAGGCTGTTGGTATTTAAAAATATCGATATATTGCCATCCTGTGTCTTACGATACATCTCCTGAAGATATGGAGGTATTACTTAAAAATTTATTTCAACAAAATTAAGTAATAGAATGAATGATAGTAGCTATTTCTTTTGTATAGATTGCAGTAACTTCTTGGTTGTGTCTAGTCTCAAAAATAATAGACCTAATTGAAACGGTAATATTTATATTACGAAAGAAAGATAAACAGGTTTCGTTTTTGCATTTGTATCATCACGTAACAACTTTGACTGTGGGATGGATATTTGGAAAACATTATTCTGGTGGAATGGCTGTTATTATACCTATAGTTAATTGTTCTGTACACGTAATTATGTACACTTACTATTTTGCTAGTTTATTGGATGGAAAAATTCGGGATATCGTCAGTAAATATAAACATTGGGTTACAATTATTCAAATGGTAAGTACTCAATTTTAAAATCAAAATCTAATTAAAATGATGTTTAAATAGAATACCGATAACATTGAGAAATATCGTCAATTTGATTTTTTTTTAACAGGTGCAATTCGTACTATTGTTAGTTCATAATGGGCAAGCGTTTTCACCGAACTGTGATGTGCCTAATGTCATAGTTTTTATTTCATGCGCCAACTATGTCATTAATTTCTTTTTGTTTTACAATTTTTACAAGCATGCCTATTTAAAGAAAAATATCAAGCAAAATTGATATTAAATATTAAACTTATTCATAAACAAATTTATTTTAATTTTTTGTTATGTATAATATAATTATACAATATGAACTAGAATAAAATATTATTTCATTGTTCTTCTCGCTTATACTGTTATATTATATTTTTATATAATTTTATATAGATACTCACAGCTATAATATATAAGAAAGTTACACAAAGTCGATTAATGTTTCGTTAGCATTTGTAAAATATCGACTCGTCTATAAATAGCTGATTATTAATTTTTTTGTTCTTTAGTTATAAGATCATTGCAACAAATTTCTCTTGAACGTAAGAATTGACCAATCAAATCCTCGTGAAATAATTCATACGATAAAACATAGGGTTAACAAAAAACATTCACCTTTAAAAAAGTGTAAAAGTATAAACAAATTTCAATTAAAAATAGTAAGAAAAAACAAAATTATACACAATTGTTTTTCTAATCTGAATAAAATTGAAAAATATCGCGACTAATCCAAACTTGGATTAATTTGGATTAATTAGATAGGTCTTTAAATATTATTAGTCAAAAATATCTCATAGTTCGTTTTTGATAAATAAAATATTGATGATTATTTTTCTTACAAATCGAAAAAGTATTTCTTCGAATTTATATTGTAACACGAGTGTATATATATATACTGATTTAAGGGTTCATTCTGGTTTATAATTTTGAAAAAATTAATTTTTTTTTTTTTGCATTTTTCGAAAGTAGACATATGTAGAATTATCATACAAAAATTTTAGAACGATCCGA